ATATATTGGTACGAAATGCCGTCCACGGGATCTTTAGGAGGCGTCTCCAGCACCACATCTCTAATGCATCGATTTTACGGCGATCCTGCAGTCTCAAAGACCAAGTTTCGGCTCCATAAAGAAAGATTGGAAACACAAGGCATTTCATCAATCTGACTTTAGTCTTCTTGGTAACTCTCCTGTCCCTCCAAATCTTTCCTAGCCGTTCCACTGCAGACCTGGTGATGGCGCACCGCCGTCTGATCTCGTCGCCACATCCTCCAGTACTTGATATAGTAGATCCGAGGTAAATATAGTTCTGTACCACTTCACAGTTGGCTATATTGTGTACATTGGTTCCAAATTGTTCGGCTCGGTCTACTATCATCATCTTCGTCTTGTCTCGGTTTATAGCCAGTCCGAATCGGAGACTGGTACTTTCTAGACGGCTTAGAAAATTTTCCATGTCCATTTCCATCCATTATTCCATCCATTATTGCAAAATTACTTCACCTAAGTAATAAGCAAGCGAGACTTTTAAGTAAACTTGTTAGTAGCCCACTTAAATAAACGAGATTAAAACACGTGAATTCAAAGTACTAACGATGTATACAAATACTGCATTAAAAACAATCGTAGCATATACCTACTCGATTTACCCAATTTTATACTACTTAAGCAGCATTTGCATTGCACGGAGTAGTGTTAAATAAAAAAAATGTGTGCACGGACTACACATCTGAAGTGCAACTTCTTTTCTTAAATATAACCTAACATTAGGCGGTTCATAAGGCATAGGCGATTGGAGCAGCGCACGTATCACTCATACATATGTACATTTATATACACACATATATATATATATATATAAATAAATATTTCCAACACTCACACCAATTAGCCTAGCCCCAAAGTAAGCACTGTAAGGCTTGTGTTATGGGATACTAGGATGACGGATAGAATACATATACTCTACATATATAAGTATATTTAATAGAAAAACATATTAAACATCCATGACTGGAGTACAAATGCTCGTATTCATCACACAAACATCTGTCCCCACCGGGACTCGAACCCGGGACCTCTCGAGTGGGCGAAACCTTGAAACCCGGCGTACAAATCACTCGGCCACGGAGGTCGTCAATATATATATATATATATATTGTCAAATATATATCGTCATATATATATCGTCAATATATATATATTGTCGCGTGTGACGCTCGTGACACTCGCAGCGTTGTAGCGTTTCAGCCTTCGCCGAATTACCCTCCGTCCAATGGACACCAAAAAAGAGGTCCAATAGGCACTTTTTGCTTTTGGGTCGAATCTTGAGGGTCCAATGGGTACTAGACCCCTCCAACTGCCATGCTGGTCGGGAAGAGCTGTGCACGCATCCCACTCACACACACACGCGCGCGCTCGCGACGCATTTCCATGGTATTTTTCCATTTCCCCGTCCGAAAAGAAGTTTCACTGCAGAAAAAACGAAACCATGATGCGAGTGAAACTTTTAATAAAATTAACAATAAATGTCCTTCCTCGGCTGGGAATCGAACCTGGGCCGCCCGCGCAGCAGGAGTGCTTTCTACCACGGAGCCACGGATGTTTGTTGATAAAGTCTGTGGTAGTAGAATGAAAAAAATATTGTATCAACTTTAAAAACCATTTTAGGCCTAAGTTTTTCAAAGCCTTCGATCGATCTCCTAATCTAATATATCAATCAAATATTAAAGCCAAAAATACCTTTAAAAATAACAAACGATAATCTTATATCCAGGCAACTACAACTAAACTAAACATTAACTCGTTCCGGGGGGAAACTTCAACATTCTCATCCCAAAGTGGACCTTAAGTAATAGCAAAAAGGGCAGACTGCATACTAACCCTACTCATTAATCACGATCCAGTCAACTAGCCAAATTCGGGCTAAGGATTACGTCACACGCACTAATTGCCTGCTTTCACTACTGGCGAATCTTACGACAGCCTCATTTTTTACGAGGACACAAACTGTTACACGATAAAACCGGATTTCCATATAGAAAGCTACACCATAAAAGCTACGCCAAAGATAGTCACAGAAAAATATAAAAATACCAGTTACATACAAGTAAGCAGAAAACCCTTGTAAAAAACTTGCAAGAAATATTTTTATAGCACAAATCAATTTAGGTATTTGAGTAAATTGTAAATTCGAACTGTTTTTAAATGAATGCTATCCTGCTACGATCTCTTTTAAGAGCAATAGCAAAGCAACCGTTCAATACCTTCTCCTAATTAATTCTATGTAAACTGTGAAAAAGCAAAACTCTTATGATAACAAAATTTTACTTAATATCAACAATTATAATATACAGCTCAAAGCTTTTGCTTTCTAATATAAATACTAAAAATACGATAGAAACACGTAATAAGGTAAATTTCATGGATACCACAGATCTTTTGCTGAATACCTACTCCCCGAAAGTATCGTATTCGTCAATATATTTTTACTCTCCAGTTGAAGCTTAGCTTTTGCTCTAGTTGAAAATAAATTGATACCCAAAAATATAATAGGTAAAAGTATAGTTTCACGTCTCGCGGTGGTTCAAGAGCCTAATGTCACAGAGCATCAACAGTTCTGATGCAACTCTTATATCGGGGATCGCGTGAGAATACCTGCTCTCACGGCACGCCACTGAGAACATTGTGCGAAGTCATTTCTTATGTTCAGTTATCGCATAGCACATTTGTGATTGCTTAATCTTATAGGAATCTCGAAATTTGCTACGGAAATTATGGATTTCATAAGTTATTGTACTTTTAGCATTACCGATTTTACTTTACCCTTGTTAAACATTCATCATCATCATCATCACCAGCTTATTAATAAATAAATCCACTGGTGATGCGCAGGTCTTCCGTATGGATGGAATAGGGAGGTTAGGACATGACTCACCACGCGGGCCGAGTGCGGATTGGTGAGTACTAACGACTGCAGCCGGGACACTTAAGCAGAAGGTGCTTAAGTGTCGCCGCACACGGGCCACACGCCACAGCTACAAGCGCCGCCACGAGAAGCTAGACGCCGCTACTAAAGTGGCTGAAGCGCGCGATAGCGGCCGACTAAGGTAAGGGAGAGAGGGGTGGGGAATCGCGCGAGTGACGTGTGGCGGCGTTTTGTATCGGCGCATTAAGTGGCCGATTCGGGCCATAAGAAGCGAGCATCGACGATTTGTAGCGTGTGACGGCCACCGGCGTATCGTGTGTGGCGAGTCCATATAAAACCTATGAAAACTACAAGAATTATGCCGGTGGCGGCGTTTTGTGGTTGTGGTCGGTGGTCCGTGTGTGCGGCGACACTAAGAGCGGGCGCGAGCTGAGAGACAATTGAGAAACAGGTATTTGAAAAAACTATTGCCGTCGCGCATTTGGCAAATACCGTGCGAAAGAGACCACAGTAGCTGACGCTGAAAATGGCGTATAAAATGGCAGAATTCGAGGTTTGGCTCTCGACGATTTCCTCCTCGAAAATTTGATATATTATTATGTAAAAGAAATTGTATCCATAGAATAATAAGCAGTTATACTATGCCTCTATGTTATGCTTTTATATAAATGCTTATTGAATATACATATACACTCGACGTCTTTAGTGGTGATAAAAAATTGATTATTTTTGGCAATTTTGAGGGCTTCTAGTTTCTTTCAAACACAAGTTATTGAAAAAGGGAAAACATAGGAGCATAGAATGAGTAAAATTATATTTTATTTATGAAAATCATATCTTAAGTGTTAAAAAAGAGGAATCAGTCGAGAACGTTTTTATAGAAAAAAAATCATTGCCCGCCTCCTCTCTTAAAATCCTTACGGAGCACAAAGGAGCTCGCGAATTTTTGGTCACCCACCCAATGACCGACCGTTACGAAAGTTACTTAACTTAATGCGCAAACCACTTGCGGCATCGAGCTTCTCCTCGAATCTACATTAGTATTAATCGATTCAATTTATCGCTTACTCATTTATCTTCATAATTATTACCTTATCTATAATATACTAAAATTGGAGTATAATATAAATTAATACACTGTTCCTAAACATACTTTTAAAACTTATTACAGCTTCGCATGAAATTTATTTTTTCTTTTTCATGTTACTAGAAAACCTTTACTAATCTCTCAAGCTTGAGAGCTTTAGTGAATCTACGGTAGAGATACGTATTCTCCTTTGGGAGATCATCCCGCCTAGAAAAGCTCTGAAGATATCTATCTAGCTTTCTTCGCTGGAGCATGTTTTTTTATAAAACTTATTTTTAATTTAGTTGTAGTATTTGTAAATTTCATCGTATATTTTGTGAAAGATAAAAATTACATTTTGAAATAAAAAAACACGACTTGACATGAGGCCTGAAAAAAATGATTTTAATATAAGATAGTCATTTATTGTCCAGAACAGTGTACAAATGCCAACAGTTTGCCCATATCGGGAGCACAATATTACATTAAAATTATACAAATGATTTAGAAACACTTTAAAAAGTATCAAAGCCGGTATTTTTGGGGCGCGTGCCGGAGGCTTAGAGAGCACCAGCTCTTCATCTTCACGTCTGGACTTCAGCGTGACTTAACATCAGGTGGGGTGGAGTCATTTGTCGGACCTTTCCATAAAAAAAAAGTAATTAGGAAAATCTTTTTAATTTAAAAGCTCGCTCGACTGCAACGACTTCTTGTTTACTTCCTTTTTTGTTGAAACTAAATATCATTTTTGTGCACATAATTATTAGTTTAAGTTTTTGAATCTTGCTCATTCAAAACTATAAAAAGAGTTTCCATATTTAAAAAACTCAACAAACTCCTCCATATAGAATTTATAGTTGAATAAAAACGCAGATACAAACATACATGAATCCTAAAAAAAACATGGCCATTTTATATAATTATTTATTTATTAATATAAACAGGGATCAAAGGACACGAAAGCAAAAATAAAGTTTCTCATAAAACTTTCATGTTAAAGAAATATCAATTTTGTTTCAGTGTCCCAGCAATATACCGCAGAATGTCGTCCGGACGGCAGTGTGCCAGCTTTGTGGGTAAGTCACATAATATTTTTTTCTCCCTTTCTTTTAAAGGACTTTTATAATACTAAGTCAAATAATAATGATATCTACTATTTCTGCACTTGACACTTAACGGGGTATAGGTATGTTAGAAGCTAAAAAAATATAGGCAATAAATCACTTAATTAAGAACGATTTCGTTCGTTCGTTCGTCATAGGGATTTTGACACGAAAAAATTATCATAACTTTGAACTGTAATGAATTCAGGAAGTTATATTTATATCTTAGTTATCATTCATTGTAAATTATGATACATAATTATAATCGTTGTATTACGAAACGGGCATATTTACAGGTGTTCCTTTCCACTTGATTATAAAAGGTTCTCCGTAAAATGAAATGTTAATTTGAAACTTTGTCAAAGGAAGATATCATCAAACTAATGTTTGGAGCATATAGCTAACTTTGATTGGAAAACTTGGCAATAAGCAGCGAGATGATTGTCGCGTCGCGGGCATTCGCCATTTTGTTAATTGCTAAATTTTGAGGTGTTTTGAGCCGGGCATGATATAGTGATGAGACGATCGTCATTAAAAGTCAAGATATTCTTTGAACTGATTCTAAAAGGAGAAGGTTTTAGAATGTATATTGTATCTTAAAAAAAAGTTTTACTAGAAAAAAAATCCACGCGGACCAGGCAGCGGACGGGACTTGAACCCGCACCCTTCACAATCCGGGCGAATGCACTGACCAATTATACTAGCACGACCCTGATGGCCGCGTCGAAATTTTCCTAGCCTTAAGCTGCAAGGCAGCGCCATCTCTTCGCATTGTAGGTAACCCACAATGTCAAATGAATACTTTTTCAAGTATTAAACATTTGAAAGACGAAATAGCAATTATAGTTATGTTTTTATTTTCAGCCATCAGGGCCGTGGTAGCATAATTGGTCAGTGCTTTCGCCCAGATTGCGAAGGGTGCGGGTTCGAAGCCCGTCCGCTGCCTGATCCGCGTGGACTAGTAAAACTTTTCTTTAGATTTAAACATCTAGCAGTTAAATGCTTAAAAAAAACATAACTGCATATTGTATGTTTATTTAATGATTGTACTTCCCGTCAATATATGTTCTCGAAATAAATTTTTCTTTCGTAATAGTTACGTATATTTAGGATTTGGATTGCAAAATATATGTGACTATATACACGAATCGAGTAGGCAAATCATTTGAGATGCAAAACACTGACTCCATATGACAATCCATTTTCGACCGTGTCTCTGATACTATATCAAAGAAAAATGAAAATTACAAAAGGCTTAAGTTTTGTTAAAAGTAAGTTAAGATAGAAAATTACAGAAACAGAAATATCTTCATTATTTCAATACACTTATACTTACATATAGTTTAGTCCCCACTTCCAAACTAGTAAAAACTGTATTTTGGAAGCCAGCGTCAGAGTTAATTGATCTTCAATAGGGGTGATGACGGGGTACAGTAAACGAAATTCTATTTAGTCCGTCAGTTAGATGATCAAAAAATAATGGACACGTATTTTTTCTTTGGGCAATCAAGCAAAAAATTACAAAGTTATAGCGCGTCAAAGTTTGGGAGTAGGGGCTCGTGACATCACTTTTAAGTGAAAATTGTACCAAAACGTGACTTCATGCGACTTTTCAAATCAATATATCTCTGCAATGTTTATATTATGTGAAAAAAGAAAAAAATATGTGTCCTATACTTTCTGATAGTCTACCTGATAAACGAAAAAAAAATAGTCATCATTCTTATTATCGATAGTAAAATAAGACTATAGTTAATGCCACGTCAAGTACATAGTAAATGTGTCCAAAATACCAAATACCATTTTTTCTATATTCGAAGTAAATATCGTGTAACTTACCTACATACCTCCATATCTTTTAGTAATCTCGATTCCGTTCACTAGAGCCTAGCCCACGGTGTTTTACGGTGACTCTGATAAAGCAAACACATTACCAATTTATGATGGCTCTTATTGCAATCTCAATAAACTGCTAGCATTTGTCAAATGAAACCTTTAAACACTGCACGTTAAGAGCTCCACGTAATTGTAGTATGAATAGGTTTCGTACTAATGGAAGTTTATGGAATGGGCATTCAAGGTATATGAGGAGAAGCTCGATGGCGCATGTGGTTAGCGCATTCGGTCTGCGATCGTGAAAGTTAAGCAACTTTGGCAATGGTAGGTTATTAGATGGGTAACCAAAAACTTATTATCACGAGCTCCTCCGTGCTTCGGGAGGTACGTTAAGCCATTGGTCTCAGCTGCATCTGCAGTCGTTAGCACCCACCAATTACTGAGCCCGTACTGGGCCCGCGTGGTGGATCACGGCCCAGTCTCCCTAAACCATTCACAGGAAAGGCCTGTGTCCCAGAAGTGGGGACATTAATAAGCCTGATGATGATGATGATATGCCCCTAATGTTATGTTAAAAAAATACAAACCATTTATCAAAAGTATTCGTAGTAAAAAGGCTAATTTACAACTTCATAGTATTAATTAGTAATTAAACAAGTCACCTGCAAATGAAGTTCTAACACAGTAATTATAAATGTGATTCGTACGAATAGCTTTGAAACGCCCGCCTAACCTCTAGCTCTTGAGTGGGCTTTTAGAATTATTCTCTTGAGAAATAACCTTTCTCTAAGCTACTAAGTTCAAAAGTATGATGACTGAGATAGGTTTGGTCTATGTACATATTTGTTTTTCTAAATTTCAAATTATTGCAACAGAATATTGTAAGAGTATAGTCACGCAAGCAGTACTCGTAAATATAATATACTGGCGGCCTGCGACATCGTTCGCGTTAACTTTTTTTATATATATAGCCAGGTAGGCAAAAGACTCTACTCCACCTGATGTTAATTTGACTATTTGCGGGAATCCCTCAGAAACGAAAAAAAATTTTTGGCTTAACAACTATTCTTTGCCTCAATCCAGGTAATAAACTAAATCGGTGACAAATTTGAATGTGACTAAGCTACAACAAACATACAAACCAGGCAGTTATATTTCAGTTAAAACTAATAAAAAAACATAAAGTTTGAATAAAAACTTCAGGAAACTGCCACTTATAGTAGTTTATTCATACCCATACTATATAGGTATATAGGGTTAAAAAACTTAGTGCAAATTATTACAGTTGAATAATTTATTGCAGTAACCAGACCTCAGGTTGTACAAACATTTGATTTCTTGTGATCGCAATTACCTATGGTAAAATATTATAAGTAACGATTTGTTGTTCTATCTTAAAATACCTTCATAATCACCTCAGGGACTTCCTGCTCACGTTAGAAGTTTGAAACTCACGCGCCGCCTTCGCAGCTTAGACGAACAATTTCCTGCACTCACACAAGAAGGCTCCATGCATGAACACTTATTCTGAAAGGGGAACTTTCACTATGAAGGAAGTCTCAGAGCCACATTAGAGCAATGACCGCTAGTCTCATTATTTCGAACTACATGATCACAATTTCAATTAGTGGATCTTTAGTCTCTAAGTCGAAGATACAATACAACTTGGTTTATTCATTCTTATCTCTATCTACAAAGTAGTAGTGTAGCTTTTAAGCTAAACTCCAATTTTCAAGACATTATTGTTTTAAACTTTCATGGACAGTAACATTACAATAATTTATATTGTTTTTTTTTGCCATGCAGTGACTCCATGATCATTGCGCTTGTAGAGTACCGAAATATCCAAAACTTGTTAAAAACAAGGTACATGGTAACAATCTCGTCAATAACATAAATTTCAAAGATCATCATCGTTACTGATAACATCCTTTTAATGTCCCCATTGCTGGAGTACAGGCCTTCCATATAACGCTATATAACAACTGTAAATTTTATTTTATATTAAAAGGGTGGCAAACATGTATATGGCCCTCCTGATGGTAAGTGGCCACCATAGACTAAAGACGTTGCGATGCGAAAAATATCAGTGGCAATGTTGCCTACCCTAACCTAATCCCCTACCCCGTTGTTAAATGTAGTATAAAATAAGTATAATAAAAATAAGAAATAAGTATATAAGGAAGCAAAAATGTAAAAGTCATAGGATATAAACAAACAAGAAATGTATGTAAAATAGATACAAGAATTTAAGAAATGAGTAAAACAGAAATGTTATCATTAAAGCATAACTTAGAATAAGAAGAACATATAAAATAATTAAGAAATATATATAAATAAAGAGAAGATAAAGACCTGTCACAAAACGGGGGTAGCAGTATAAAAAAAAATCCCCTACCCCGTGGAGCCCCTGGATCTTACTCATCGACAGGAAGACGACACAACCAAAAATGCAGCTAGGATCAAAAGCTTGACTTGCCTACGGAAGCAAGGAGGAGGTCAACATAATACAGTTTTGGGCACCTACCCTTTGCAATAGATTGAATTTCAAAGATCAAACGCGCTAACCACTTAAACTATTGAGCTCCATAACGTCAAACGTATTCCAACAAAAAAAATATATGAACACTATGACAACACAGAAAACATTGTCCAATTGAGTTTAGATAGAAATAATCTTTGAGGTTGACAATAGATTGAGCAGATATAGGTACTTTAAAATGGTATGCTCCTTTGAAAATGAAAATGAAAAATGAAAATTTGTTTATTTCTTTAAATAACATAATAGTACAATTAGTCGATGAGTCCTCCTAGTTGTTTTAAATAAAACCTACAGTGTTTTATGAACTCCGTAACGTACGAACTAATGAATGGTATATTTTAAGCAGCTTAGTGTGATTTTGAGGGGCGTTTCTAACACTTGTAGCACTCGTGAGCAATCTTACCCTAGCGTTCTCTAGTAAGCGAGTGGACAAAATGTAATGGAGGCGAGTGTCGCTCGGCGCTCCCTGAGACCATCGCGCCCGTGTGCAACGCATGCCTTTCAACACTTCAGCATAAATAAAGCCACCTCTGGCGATTTTTCACAAGGATCGAATCTGGCTCAACAGCAATGAGAAGTTTGTTAAATACTTGTA